TGGACCCAGACATTTTTTGGGAGTCCTTTAATGACTTGATCAATTTCTTCTTTTGTTATAGGTCTGTTCAAGTTTTCTACTTCAATCTGTGTTAGTTTAGGTAAGTTGTGTGTTTCTAGAAATTTGTCCCATTTATTCTAGATTTTCAAATTTGTTGGAGTATAATTCTTCGTAGTATTGTGTTATTACTCTTTTTATTTCTGTTGGTTCTGTTGTGATGCCACTCTTAACCATTTTTTTATTTGTGTTATTTGCATGTTCTCCTTTTCTTTTATTAGATTTTCCAACCGTTGTCAATTTTTTTTAATCCTTTGAAAGACCAACTTCTTGTCTTTTTTATTCTATTTTTCTGTTTTCTATTTCTTTTATTTCTGCTCTAACCTTCATTATTTATTTATTTTTTTCACTCCTGCCTGTAGGCTCACTTTGCTGCCCCTTTTTTTTTTTTTAATTGTTGGAGATGCTGGGTTAAAGTATTGATTTTAGTTCATCTTTTTCGATGTGTGCATTTATTGCCATACATTGCCCTCTGAGCACTGCTTTTGCTGTGACCAAAATGTTTTAGTATATTGTGTTTTGTTTTTTTATTTGATTCTCAGAATTTTTATTTTTTCATTTTTTATTTCTTCTATTACACAGTAACTTTTAAGTAGGATGTTATTCAATTTCCATGTATTTGATATTTTTCCTTTTAAATCATGATATAATGTCCTGCTTTGTCAGTTATGTTGGTGTTTGCCTTAAATTCTCTTTTATCAGAGATTAATATTGCCATTACATGTTTTTGATTGCCATTAGCTTGGTATATTTTTTCCATCCTTTTATTTATTTATTTTTTTAAAGTCTATTTTTGTCTCTGTGTTTAAGGTGTGTCTGTTATAGACAGTACATTGAAGGATCATGGTACTCTTTGTTTCTTGACTCGTACACTTAATTTATATTCAGTATAATTATCGATAGACAGTTTACATTCAGTGTAATTATTGGTAAACTTGATTACTGCCTTTTTGCTGTGTATTTTTTTTGTAGTGCTAGTTTCTTTGTTCCACATGAATTTCTGTACTGAGTTTATTTTGTTTGTGGATTTCCTTTTCATGTTTTTCATTGCTGCTTTTATTTGTACTAAATCTTTCTTATTTTCCTTTTTTATTTTGTTGTGCTTGTTGTTAAATATATCATCAAATTGGTTCTGATTCATAGCGATCCTGTGTATGGTTTTTGAGAAGTGGTTGGTGGGTTGTACAAACTGACCTTGCAGTCTAGTGCATTATCCTGCATCGCTACACCCAGACTGCTATTTCGATGTGAAGCTGTATTTATTTTCTTTGAGGTTACTCTATAATTTATTAATGTTTCCTCCATTTAGAACAGTCTGTTTGATCTTTAAATCTACTCGACTTCCTCATCATTTGGAAGGCCTGTATCTACTCTATTCACTCTTTATTTTTTGTGGTTGATTTCATTATAAATTGACATCTCTAGTTCCATATTTTCAATCTTGTAGGTCTGTGTTACTTTTCACACTTTTATATCTGTATTTAGTCCTGAGTGGTGTTGTCATTTATGTTAATCTTAATTGGTTGTCTTCTGTTGTTGGTTCTCAGTCCATAGTACAACCTTTACTATTTTTTTGTAAAGTTGGTCTTGTTGCAAATTCTTAGTTTCTTGTCATCTGAAAATACCTAATTTTGCTGTCATATTTGAGGGACAGCTTTGCTGGTATATGATTCTTGGTTGCCGATTTTTTTCTTTCAGAGTTTTGTATATATCATCCCATTGCCTCTTGTCTGCATGGTTTCTTCTGAGAAAATCAGAGCTTAGACTTATTGGTTCTCCTTTTCCAGGTAGCTTTTTGCTTTTCCCGAGCTGTTTTCAGGAGTCTTTCCTTGTCTTTGGTTTTGGAAAGTTTGATTATGATTTTTTTTTTTTTT